GAGCCAGTATGGACGATGCCCGCTATCTGTGGACAATGAACCATCGTCATATCTTATCATGTTGGACGCCACATTGTCGAGCATAGCGTATGTACGGCATGAGATTGAACTGCCTGTAACAGCTATATTCATTCACCTCGTGCAGACACTTGCTGTCGCATCATTCCTACCATCCTGATTCCAAGAATCCTCCTTTTCCCACTATGTTGGCGACCAACAGCGAGAAGAAGCTCGGCATTCCAATGGGTCCAGTGACTACCCGCGAGGAGGGTGTCGTTGAGCACGTCCATTTGGGATACGATGCGCAGCTCACGAAGAACCGATCGCTCATCAGTGTTCTGGGTATGTGCCTTGCCATCGTAGCAGTGCCCTATGGTATTGGCGGTCCCTTGATGAGCGCCATCTATGGTGGTGGCCAACTTTCGATATTCGTCGGCGTACTGGTTGTCCTGTTCTTCAATGGCTGTGTCGCGATCTCGCTTGCCGAGCTGGCATCACGGTATCCAACATCTTCTGGTGTGTACTACTGGTCGTACCGGCTCTGTGGTGAACGCAAGAGGACACGCAAGATCGTCTCATTCCTGACCGGCTGGTTCTGGCTCATCGGAAACTGGACCATTGCACTGTCCGTCAACTTCGGCTTCGCTTCCCTTATCGCGGCGACGGTATCAATTTACAACCCAGAGTGGATAGCATCAGACTGGGAACTGCTTCTCATCTTCTACGCGCTGTGTGTGCTGGTCTTCCTTGTTTGCTCACTCGGAGACAAGCTGCTACCGTATGTGGACTCCGTGGCCGCAGTATGGAACTTCGTCACCATCATCGCACTTCTGGTCGCTCTATCAGTCCGCGCCCAGCAAGGACGACATCCGGCCTCCTACGCGCTCGGCAACTACGACAGCAGCTTCTCAGGCTGGGGTACGGGTTTTACGTTCTTCATCGGCCTCCTTCCACCAGCATACGCCTTCTCCGCCATCGGCATGGTAACCTCGATGACGGAAGAATGCGCCCAGCCCGAGATTGAAGTTTCTCGCGCCATCGCCCTCTGCATACCATTCGGTGGTCTTGCATCGCTACTCTTCGTCCTACCACTATGCTTTACGCTACCACCGCTCGAAGACATTCTCAACGCACCCTACGGCCAAGCGCTGCCATACGTCATATACTCTATCATGGGCTCAAAGACGGGAGCGCTGATATTGATGATCATGATTCTCTTCGTTACTCTCTTCTGCGCCATTGCGATCACGACTGCTGCTTCACACTGCACATGGGCGTTTAGTCGCGACAACGCGCTTCCACTCGCTGGCCTGTGGACACGCACCATCGCCGACCGGCCCATCTACTCGCTCACGCTCGTCACAGTCATCGAGATGCTACTCGGTCTCATCAATCTTGGTTCCAGCAGCGCGTTCACCGCTTTCGCATCAGTCGGCGTCATCGCACTCGCCATCGGCTACCTCGTTCCTATTGCTATCTCTCTCTTCACGGGCCGGAAAGAAGTCGCACATGCGAAATGGAATGTCGGTGGCCTGGTGGGCACCGCAGCAAACATCGGTGCTGTGGCATGGATTCTCTTTGAACTAGTGCTCTTCAGCATGCCGACTGCGCTTCCTGTTACTGAGGTCTCGATGAACTACGCTAGTGTCGTATTGGTCGGCTTTGCGTGTTTGAGCGGGCTGTGGTATGCCCTCTCTGGCAGAAACAGTAAGTTCAAATGTTTATCTGCATGGTCATGCAGGGCTGGAGTCTCTACTGACATCGCCTAGAGTTCAAGGGTCCGCCCAATGAGGTGGATGACGTTTACTAAGGTGTAGCATTCCTTTGCCCTGGTTGTCGGATGATCACGCTTTCTTGTGGCCCTCGTACCCCTTGTACCATGGCCTCCTCCGATGCAGGATGTTGCACATTTATCTAGATTGCAGCCTTTTGTGGAAGAAGTCCACTAAGTTGCGTCCTATCTGGTAGCGTTCTTGCCCAAGAATATACATTGCCTTTATAACTTCTTCCCATATATCAACATTTGAGAGTACGTATGCAGCAAACTCAACATAGCTCCCCTGGTAATGTGTACCGTATGTTACGCAAAAGCTGCAGCGTGGCATTGGAGCGCTTCTGCTATAGTAAAGGTGTGAGATGTATGGACTACCTGGCTCAAGGTCATATGCTTGAAGCTTAAGCCTCATCAGCTGAGTAACAGGCATAGAAGCACTGTTTCATGTTGTAGACCGCCCAAACATGATGAGGCGTGTGTGTATGCAACAAAGTATATTTCTACTGACTCTGACAGGGAAGTCTACACTCAAAACGGAAATTCACCCTCCGGCTTCTCCAACACTCCACTATCAAACTGCTTCCTATGTTCCTCATCCAGATACGGAAGCAACAAACCCTCCCAATGCTCTCGTCCCTTGTAGTAACTAACCGTCTCATCCCAGCTCCTTATCGCCTCGGCCAGTCTTCCTGGTACATGCGGCTCCTTCGCAATGGTCGTCACCGGCTCGAAGTACGTCCTGATGGTGAAGAGAAGAGCTTTGGACTTTGGCAGACGTCTCAGTGATTGTCTTTCCGAGCGAAAGTGGATGTCTTCGACACGGAGACCTTTAGAGTTGGCAGTGGCCCATGAGGCGACGGTGTTGGAGTTCTGATCGCCCATGCGGTGTGACCATGCGAGCCCGTCGTCCAGTTGGATGAAGAACTACAGATCTATCAGCACTGGTACCTCAATATTTGGAGTGATTTTGGTGCTACTTACGTTGTTTCGAATGACAGGCTTCTCACACGTCATGTTGGCGAAAAAGCGATTCATGGCCTTTTGCAACTTCTCCTGGTAGTGCGGTACACCGGCTTCGATATGTAGTTCATCGAGCGACATGCGGTATTTCTCAGTCAGGCGCCAGAACCCAGGTAGGCAGACTGCGCCCGCATCAATGTGGTATTGGCCATCGTCATTCAATACCATGACAACCAGATCGTCCTGAACAAGCTTTGCTGCGGTAACCATAGCTTCCGTCGGGCTCGGTGCTGGGTATTGGAATTCTTCACCAGTGACTGTGTTATGAAGGACGTTGCCGCGCAATTGGAAGACTTCCGGATAGCGATGCGTGAGATATTGTGTCAACTCTTCCAGGACCTCAAAGCACGCGAGGCGCGTGACTTGGTTATCGACATATTGTACCCGGGATTTGACGTCCTTCTCGAGCTCCCGAACCTTGGCATCGTGGTAAGGGATAAAATTCGAATCCATTTCAATCCACTGGTTCCAATCCATTTTCCGGATCCCCATTGTTACAAAGTTCGGGCCATGGCGGAAGGGTCGATAGAGCTTGGGATCTGTAAGCTCAAGTTTGTAGTCCTCCGCCGGTTTCGGTAACGGTGTCTTGAATGGTATGGAAGGGACTTAGAGAGGTCAGTGCTGCCCAAATTGATGATATTCTGATCAACTGCACCTTTTTGCTTCATGTCGTAAGATGGAGAGAGTTTGTTACTCGAAGTCTTCTGCATCCGCCATACCAGGCCAACCGCAAGTGCAACCAAGAACGCCGCAAAGCCCAGAGGCGTCAAGACTGGGTTGATCGATAACATGTACATTAGGTAGTAGTTTTTCCCCGTGCGCTGCTTCCAACGACGCTTCAAGCAGACGACATGAGCAGTTAAATGCTAGATCATCGTGAGATGGACGTTGACAATGGCGAATGACACCATTGGCGGCTATCTACACCTTAGCGTAGGGTCGCGTGTATAGGTTTGCAGGGAAATGTGGGTCAAGAAATGGCCGCTGTACTTGCCATGCTGGGTATAGCTCGAACTGCAAGGCATCGCCACGCTAAACCCCGGTTTCATATCTCGTGGCGAAAACGAGGCCTGGTCACCTTCCATGTTGAGATGTTCCGTGGTTCCAGCGGCATCATTCATATCGGAGATAGGAGCTTGTTTGCTTGTGTCAGATATGGATTGCGGGGACGCTCCACTTCCGTTCGTCAAGGAGAGCAATTCAACGATAGCGAGCTTGTCTATACCAGAGCGAGGCAAATACCGGGCAACTTTGAGTTGTTGGACTCTAGATTGAACATTCTTGTCGTAGTCTGGGGCTTGACTCCAGTGCGATGACGCGGAGCTGTGTTGCGAACATTCATTACGGGACCCAACAGCGGAAACACGCCCCATACGATGCATGGGTCTATAAGTCGCGATCATCTCCAAGACCGTGTTATAAGCTTCTTCGCCCGACTCCTTCTCGACTAGAACACTTGTCACCAACTTCTTCTTCATTTCGCCCCAAACGCATTTCACTATCGACATCGAGAACTTCATTATGGCAACGTTCGGAAACTATGCTGGAACCGAATCCAAATCGAAAGCTTTCCATTACTCGCAAGCTGTCAAAGTAGGAAACGTCGTCCGTATTTCAGGCCAGGGTGGTTGGGATGCGGAAGGAAACGTAGCACCAAACGCGGCAAAGCAAGTGGAGCTAGCGCTTGAGAACATTGAGAAGGCTCTACAATCTGTCGAAAAGGGCGTGTCCTGGAAGAACGTATACGCTATTCGATCGTACCACACAAACATCGACGAGTCTGCGGACCTATGTATCGAAGGCTGGCGACGCGTCATGCCTGATCACCGACCGGTATGGACATGTGTCGAGATTACCAAACTTGGTATCGAAGGCATGCAAGTCGAAATCGAGGTGGAGGCTCTCGTTGAATTGGAGTGAGGGAGGCGGTACTCAGACATTGGTAATATGCTGGGATACGGGCACCAAGAGTGGCTACCATTCCTGTCGCATTTGCTGCATATACACTCTTCAATCTTAACAACTAGATAGTCCTTAGAGTCATGTATACATCTGGCTTGGAATCTCTGTAAAATGCGACATGAATTATGGCCGTCCCTGGTGCAAACACTAGACAGTTGAGCAAGTGGCTGGTAGTCGTAGGGCTCGGAGGCATTTTGCCGGAACTATCGCAATCTTCTGCTATAGCAAGAACCGATGAATTCTTTCATATGACCAATGTACACATGGCGGTGTTCTTGAAACTTCCGCTCCACGTAGTAGGATTACGAGACGGTTGCCAGAGCGCCTCCAAAGTTGCCCGAATAGACAGCACGGACTCGAATCGCAGATTGTTGTGTATGTTCCCCAAAATCTTCATCACACATTCCCGATGGGCCTCCAAGAGTGCATGTGCGCCAGCAACATAGAGTGGGAAAAGAGCACAGTTCTGTGCTTTAGATCTCGTATCCATGCCTTGTATACACTCCAGACACGCATGGACATGCTGTTGGAGAAGAAAGTGCTTCGTGGGAATGTCGTGAATAGCACTGTAAAGGTATATGAGGCCTGCGTGCTGGAAACAACGGACAAGTGAGAGCGATGCCGTTGTAACAGGGCTTAGCAGGTCTTGTCCTGCGTCTCCATCTGGACACTCTAGCTTGGAGTACGTGGGCTGAAGCGCATGCTCAAAGGCCTGCGCCTTCTCGACGCAAACTTCGGCTCCAGTTTGTAGCTCGTGGCGGTAGAAGCTCATCTCAGCCAATGTGGATAGAACAGACCCGAGTGATGTAGTGCCAGGGACGACTTCCCACCATACTGATCCTGACTCCATTGTCTCCCAAATGGAGGCTGGGAACGAAGGTTTTCTGTCTTGGAGCAGGGCGTCTGTCAGATCGGTGGATGCTAGTTCCGAGAGTAGCATTCTAGTCATTCTGTCTGACGATGACCATGCTGCTCGAAAGCCACCCATTGCGTTGATGATTGCGATCGCTCCTGCAAGGTGACAACCGGTCGAAGCGTCATCTGACATGCAGTTGACATAGCCTTCCAGGAAGTACAAAAGCAGCACCGCGACTAAAAGTGCGGAGAGCGCAGCACCATCGGATTGCTCGCTGCTCAGTTGGCCGCGGATAACTGACAAGCAATGCAAGCGTCTCCTCTCAAGAGTCTGTTTGGACGATCCGCGCTCTTGCAGCGCCCGATGCTCCTCGGCAAATACGCATAGGGCCTGGAGGACAGGTTGAGAGCGCAGGGCAAGTGCGACTGGTGGCGGGACTGGCTCATGAAGAGTGGAGAAAAGTGGCCATAACCGCGCTTTGAAGTATTCCAGTGCTCTTCGCTCATTGACTGCCAGGTGAATGTTATTGAGCGAACGCTCGATGGATAGCTGTGGGATGCATTCGGGCACCGTTTTAGCAGGTCGCTTCTTCCATCTGAGTAGTAACTTGTCGTAGCTGCAGTCTTCCGCGTTTGTGGAAAGGAGGCATCGTCGGCATGTGGGCTTCTGGAGGTCGCATTTGACTCGTCTTTGCTTGCAAGGCCAGCACGACCCTTCAACCGTCCGTCGACGTTTTGGCGGACTGTTGCCAGAGGATTCCGGACGCGACATCTGTCTGCATGACGTGATAAGGGTCGCGATTTCAGAGTGAGAGTGACGAGGTTGCGAAAGGGGAGTACCAGTCGATATCAGATGGATGATACGAATGTCCGACTGATGCGAATCTGCCCTCAGTATTGATGCATGAAGGAACAAAGATCGAAAAGGGCGAGACGCGTCGAGGCCTCCGCTGATCGGGGCCCCCGATTGGCGCACGCCAAGACCATTATTCCCGCTAGAGCCGTGGCCTCGCCGCTCCACCAAGATATCTCTCTCTTCATCAATGCGATAACGACGTCTGATGGGATATTTGTCACTGTTGAGTATTATGGCGGTAAGGGGTCAGGGACGTTTATGCTAACGCTTGGAGCGAACAAACAATCAAGCACCGTGTCAAGGCTCATGCTTTTGCGGGCCGAAGAAGCCCTGGAGGCGATAGGAACGGTACATGAAGCTCAACAACCCTTGAACCCTAGACTCTAACTTCTTCAACCCTTTGCTGGGCTGTTCTGCCATCGAATCTCATGGGCGTCCAACCTCCGAGCGTCGGATCATCCAACACTTTGGTTCCGGACGGTGTCAGGCTGCATCTACGTCGATAGCTTTGCTTGTTACCGTGCAACACGTTGGTACGGTAATGGTACCTGCATTAAAGCGGAACCGCGCAAGGTAAGCAGAAGTACCTGCAAGACCCTCGCTCCTCACACCTTCTATGTGCGCGTCGATGCGCGTTCTGAACGCTACTCTCAACATTGACGTCCTGAAAAGCAATGGACACCGGCAAAGGGTGGCAGATGCTGGGCTTACTGCCATGAACAAGCCCTTTGTTGGGTTAGCAGATTGCGAGGGTAATCCATTTGGATGGAAAAGTGTTCAGTTACTGCCAAACACCTACAGGGCTGAGCATTTCAAAGGTCATGTGCTCGTGGTGGCTCCGGCTCTCCACAGCAGCGGCTGCACGATCACACTAGTGTCGTCGATCACTTGGCTCAGCTCTTCTACAAGCGGTCGATGGACTGGAGGCTTACCGGATCACCTCAATTACTAACATCACCGTTCGCTAGCGGAAAGCGTCAGTGGCTCTTGTATCGCTATCTTGGGGCAATACCCGAAAGCAGCTCGAAATCGCATGGCGCGCCATGCCACGACACCTGGGCATACAAGCGAATCCCAGCTGATGGTACTAGCTTGTGTAGCTGAAGAACAAATACACCGCTTAGTCGTTGCACGAGTTCACGTATGTGGGACCGCAAGGCAAGTGGCGTATTCTTCCTCGCGGATGATGGGCTCAGGTCCCGGATCACCATGCGGAGAGTATTGAGTTTTGACATGCCAAGTGAACACGCGAGATCTGGACAAGCCACCATGCATCTTCACGAGAAAACACGAGGCTATCGTGGCTTCGTAGAATTCTGGACAACGGATACCGACGCTAGCGGCACCGGAGAATCGCAAAGCGGTATGCTGCTTTTCGGCAGGGTGCTCTTCCGCACTCAAGTATTGGTGGCATTCACGCAGGATGCTGTGACTGTACTGTCGATATTTCGCTCTGGGCTGTACTTGCTTGTCGAATGGCGAGTGTTTCGACTCACACTCTTTGAATCAGGCACATGTCTGCAACAGCTAGACCGTTCGCAAATGCGCCTCTTCGCAAGCTTGGCACCTTTTTTCTAGGCGGCGACTGCTAGACTGCCCTGACTTCCTACATTGACGGGATCTACCTGTCTCAAAAGGTCATTAGTCTAGGCTCGGCCCTGCATATCGCTGTCATGACCATCACTTGGTAGCTGTTTGGCTGGCTTTCCTCAACCGTATCGCCTTAAAGCGGCTGGCTTGGCCTAGGGCTACAGGGATAGATTACTATTTCGGGGACCGAGCTGTATCCCTCTACTCAATGTGGCTTGCTGTGGCCTCAACTAAACGGCGTCTTGGTTCCATGCGGGACTGTGATCGGCGAGAATGGAAGGCCCGGGACTTGGTACACCGTTGCTGTTAGGAGACAGTCGGGGAATATAAGGATGTTCCAAACATCTTGTCTTTTTGTTCCTCATCAGCTCACAGTTGCTCCTCTTACACTGTCTTATAATTTATTGTTCATAATCTTCTCGGTCGTTACTTACCTCAGCTGCCATGATGGTCCCTACTAAGTCCCTGGCGTTGCCACTCATCGCTCTATGTTCGATAGCATCATCAACTCCGTTGGAACCCCGTCATGCCGCACCCGGCCTTATCGATGGCATTCTCAATGGTGTTCTCACAGGCATTGAGCAACTCATTGCGGACGTTCTGTCTGGTAAAAAGTCACCTATCGACAACACCAAGACGAACAAGCCGTTGACCTGCTCATTGTTGAGTATTGACAAATGTTGCGTTTGTGAGTTACAACAATCCTCCTTAATCGTCTATGGCCTAACAGATATAGGGTATGATGTCTCTGCCGAGCTTACCAAGCTGTTTGTCGACCCCAAGGACAAACAATGCAACGACAACGCTCGTGCCGCAGTCCGTATGGGCTTCCACGATGCTGGGTCTTGGGATAAGAATGCTCTCAATGGTGGTGCCGATGGATCGCTACTCATGGACTTTGGCGAGCATGAAAGACCCGAGAACAACGGCCTTCAGAGCATTCGCACAAAACTTCGAGATGTACAATCCAAGTACAAGGTCGGATACGCTGATCTCGTCCAATATGCGCACAATCACGCAACAATCTCGTGTCCGAAGGGGCCCCGCGTACTTACATTCGTTGGCCGCAAGGATGCGACCAAGGCCGCACCCAAAGGACTTCTACCTGACGTTCATCAAGACGCCGACAAATTGATCGCCATCTTCAAGGACAAGGGTTTCTCGCCCCACGATCTCGCAGCACTCGTAGGCGCCCACGCAACAGCCAAGCAACGATTCGTGGACGTCCGCCCAGAGGTCGTCGACAAGCCACTCGATACGACCCCCGGTGTCTGGGACGTCGAATTCTACAACGATACTCTTAACAATCCCTCCGGTGGCAGTGCTGATCAGAAGGTCTTCGTCCTCCCAAGCGACAAGGTGCTATCGACACATCCCAAGATCGCCGATGAGTGGAAGTCGTTTGTTGGTAACCAGGTCCATTGGAACCTGGACTATGCGAAGGCTTACATCAGGATGAGTCTTCTGGGTGTAGAGAAGAGAGATCTGATGAAGTTGGTGGACTGCACGAGGACACTGCCCGTTAGCAGGCCCTCATTTCCTTAGTGTACATAATTTACAATACCCTTACGCGCATCGCGATTTAATTCAATAATTATTATGACAAGATGTCTCCGTGTCATATGCATGTTTGGCACGTGCGCGTGTATTTGACGTATCGACCAGGTAAGAGCTCGGAAGCCCTGGATGGCCCCTTCAGGGACCGCATCTGGAGAGGGTCGCTGAAGACGGAGTTGGATAGCGGCAATAATCGTGACTCAGAACCATCGAAAGGGGAGAACTTAGACGAAGCAACTGGTGCAACCCTTTTCAGTTATCACACTTGGCAAAAACTTTGTTGTGTCGAGATGCGATGAATGAATCGCGGTGCATGGTTGGTCTACCAGATAAAGCCAGGCGGGGTGGCTGACATAAGCGTGAGGCAGGCAAGGGTCCAGGTCAGGCGAGTCGAGCTTGCTTGTTTGTAGTGCGGAGAGCAGGTAGCTCACAAACGTCACGGCCGGCACACGAGCGTCACCACCACCACGCTTCACCCACACGCTCACAGACTGAGGCCTCAGATCGAATCACGATACAAGCGACTTAAAAGATAGCAAAGGACACAATGGCAACTCAATTCTTGAGGGCGGCGGCTCGCGCCGGCGTTCGAGCGCCTATGGCTGCTTCCCGCGGATTCCAGACAAGCGCTGTACTGAGGCAGGATACTGTTGTTGCGCCAGTGAAGAAGCCCGTTGGTGCTTTTAGGGGAGGGTGAGTACCCATCTCGCAATTGCATTCGGCAATGTCCGACTGGGTTCCGATGGCTACACAGCCATGGGAGACTGTCACATGCCATGAGGCAGGCGCGACAACGAACGACGTCTACTAGAACGGCAAACATGGCTGAATCAGTATGGCTAACACACGACAGATTATTCGGCTTCCTTCTCGGTGCTACCGCGTCCGGCGCAGGCATGTACTACTATGTCATTGACGAATACCGCGTATCGAACCAGCTCCTGACCGAGGACATCTACGTACGTCATTCCTACATACATCCTTTACGCACAAGCTCGATCGCAATAACAATACATCGGGGCTATACATTTGAAGCAGGCCATGGCTAACGAAAGCAGGCTCTCCAATCCGCCGTCCAACGGATAGAAGGCTACGTTCGAACCCTCGAGGACAAAGTCGATGCGAAGAAGCGATAAATCACCCACCGCATACCTATCAAGCGACGATTACGCGGCCGAACCTGCGCAGCGCGCCGAATGGGGACTTGTACGGGCGGAGCGGGCAGTACAATACGATGGGCCAGTGGGATGGAACACGCATGTACACTACGAGATTGGACTCTTCTCCGTCATTACGAAAGCTGATACTCATCGAGTAACTATCTTATACCAAATATATTTTAGGCTGTTCATGGTGGTGTTTTGGGACCTGATGATGATCTTGTGACAGGCGCCCTTCACCTGAACCTGACATGCGGACTTGAATAGTGGCCTCTCTGAAACTCTGTCCAACTACGAGATGATTGCTTCATCGTTTAGGAAGGTCGTATTTGCAATTGGATGAATGCGTAACTACACGCGCTTTCGTGTGCATTTGAGTCTATTATTTAACACATCATTATGTGAGATCTATTCACGAAACCAAAACTAACGCCGTACATGCCATTTACCATCAGATGCCCCCACTTATCCTATCCGACTCAAATCATCGCTTCACAACAGCGTAAGTGGCGCGATCCACTCGCACTTCGGTGGTGTGACGGGTATGTCTTCATCATCGTTGAATCGCCCGAGCTGAGCAACACGCTTGTAGATCTCCTCTAGAATCCT